ATCATAAAAGTGCTCAAAACCACAATCATATAGTGTGGGCACTATTGATGACAGAACTTAGATAATTTGTCATAGGTAGTCTGTTTAATAATGATGAGGCATCCATGTCCCTATAGATTTTAACAAATAAAACTTCAACAGAGTTCAATAACTATCAAAGTCCTGTTAAAATATAATAAATGTCTTATATAAGTAAAACCACTAAACGGTCCTGCATCATTCTCCTCTTCTTCAAAAGAACTCAAGTCAACAAGGAATCCTGTATTCATCAAGTGAATGTGAAACCATGAGGATTTTGTGGGAAATGCTTGAATTTTGATGGCCATTGATCCCAGAAGGAATCAATAGAAACCTCCACCAGTAGAAACATCTCAGAAAAATAGAAGACTCCTTCTGAGATGGAATCATTGACAGTTTAGAATTCTGGTTTTATCATTATCCTTGACCTTGCGCTCCTTCTTTTAATGACCTGTTTTGATTAGTTTCAAAACCCCTAGAAAGATTGTCAAACTTAGTATGGATTCCTGATTTAAAACAGATGCTGACTGCAAGATCTCAAAGGATTATGCAGGTGGGATTATCATATGCTGGTAATTTGTAAAGCATTACTGCCAGTGACAAGTAAGAAATAACACATACCCCGGCAGTATTAAGTTCAGCATTTTCTTCAATGCATATTGCAAGCTCTAAACAAGTAGAGCAAAATCCAAGGTTTCCTTTGACAATTGCAAAAGAAGCAGTTCGAATGCAGAATCTACATATGCCAGTAGGGCAACATAAGCAAAGAAACTTTGAGGTTTTGTTGCATTCGGAACAAGTATGCCAACCTGAAAAAAGGAACTTATAATTCCGGAGCTGTCCCAAATACTTCTCGATTATCAGGGAATTCACATAACGGGAAGAGAATACTATAACAGTCACAATCTAATAAATAAAGATTAATGGCAGATGCATTCAATATGTTAAGAATTAACCTCTATTCCCTTTAACCTATAAGGAGCTGCTTTCAGAATAAAAAGCATGCCTATGGCATCATATTCAGGACAATGCAAAGCTTAATAGCACATACTTTATTTCTCAGATCTATCTACAGATGAGCTGTGTTGAAGGCAACAGAATTATAAAGTACAATCTACTATGTCAAAAAAGAGGCTTACTGCAAGTCCATCTTTCTTCTGACTTCATAACAGATTTTTTCCTTCCCACACACTCAGGATGATAAACTTTGATGCAGCCGCTGAAACCAGTAAAGAACTCTAGAAATAAGAAAAACAAGGTGGAAGAAGTCCATTTCGCAGCGTTATTACCTAGAACTATTACTAAAGGTGTTAGAATTGCATCACTGATTTTAGATGATCCCAACTTAAAAATTCAACAGCAACATAACATGTTTAAGTAAATGCAACAGCCAGGCTTGTTGCAAATCCTACTTCCTAAAAATTTCCCACCCTAAGTTAGGAGTTGATGCTGGCAATACATAAATCATTATAAATAAAAAAATATCTGGATCCATTTTTGCATAAAAATATATTCCAATTTTAATTTTTCTCCACACACATTTTTATAAGAACATGAATTGTAATTTAAGATATATATGTCTTAACGTGCGTAAGCATAATACTAACGACGGACTTTAAATTAATATTTCTAAACCCATGTCCCAATTTCTGCTTTCATTTCTAATATATCTTCATCTGTAACTATCAGTTTTTA